GATGAGGCCTCATCTGGAGTACTGTGTCAGTTTTGGGCCCCACACTACAAGAAGGATGTGGAAAAATTGGAAAGAGTCCAGCAGAGAGCAACAAAAATGATTAGGGGTCTGGAGCACATGACTTATGAGGAGAGGCTGAGGGAACTGAGCATATTTAGTCTGCAGAAGAGAAGAATGAGGGAGGATTTGTCCACTGCTTTCCCCTCATCCACAGACCCAGTTATCTCCTCATAGAAGGCAATTAGGTTAGTCAGGCACGACTTGCCCTTGATGAATCCATGCTGACTGTTCTTGATCACTTTCCTCTCCTCTAAGTGCTTCAGAATTGAATCCTTGAGGACCTGCTCCATGATTTTTCCAGGGACTAAGGTGAGGCTGACTGGCCTGTAGTTCCCCGGATCCTCCTTCTTCCCTTTTTTAAAGATGGGCACTACTTTAGCCTTTATCCAGTCATCCGGGACCTCTCCGGATCCCCATGAGTTTTCAGAGATAATGGCCAATGGCTCTGCAGTCACATCCGCCAACTCCTTTAGCACACTCGCATTCAGCCCCATGGACTTGTGCTCATCCAGCTTCTCTAAATAGTCCTGAACCACTTCCTTCTGCACAGAGGGCTGGTCACCTCGTCCCCATACTGTGCTGTCCAGTGCAACAGTCTGGGAGCTGACCTTGTTCGTGAAGACAGAGGCAAAAAAAGCACTGAGTACATTAGCTTTTTCCACATCCTCTGCCACTAGATAGCCTCCCTCATTCAGTAAGGGGCCCACACTTTCCTTGACTTTCTTCTTGTTGCTAACATACCTGTAGAAACCCTTCTTGTTACTCTTAACATCCCTTGCTAGCTGCAACTTGAAGTGTGATTTGGCCTTCCTGATTACACCCCTGCATGCCAGAGCAATATTTTTGTACTCCTCCCTGGTTATTTGTCCAATCTTCCACTTCTTGTCAGCTTCTTATTTTGTGTTTAAGATCAGCAAGGATTTCACTGTTAAGCCAAGCTGGTCACCTGCCATATTTACTATTCTTTCTACATATCGGGATGGTTTGTTCCTGGACTCTAGGTGACCTTTTCAGGGAGCTATGGAGCCAGCACATGTAAATTCGATTCTGATGTCAGGCTAAGGCAACCACTAATGACACGGGTGACTGTGTTCAGCTCCCAATCACCAAGATGCTTATGCCAGCACATCTGCCCCACGGTATTGCACAGTATCACACTGGAGCGAATATCAGCTCCAGGAGTGAGGGTGTAAATCTGCTCCCGAGGACGTTCCTGCCAGCAGTGCAGGGGATGATCTTTTTAAGTGCTCTAGTGGGAGCAGTAAGTCAGACTGAAGTCCATTCTGCATAACTAGGTGACAGCTGGCTGGGAGGGGAATGGACAAACTTCAACATTGCCCAAGTGATTAGCCTGGTCAGTGGTGGGGAGCCCTTGACAGGCAGTGGCTGTGTGCAGAGACAGTCAGACACGTTGGTGGGAGGCGCTACGTTCCCCAGCAACAGAAGAGATCAGAGGCCCAGGAACCTCCCTGAGTGTTTATTCCCTTGGGTGTTTGCAGACTCCGGCATCTCCGAAGTGACTGAGCTGCGGCTGGTGAATGGTTCGAGTCGCTGCGCTGGGAGAGTCGAGGTGTTTCATAACAAGAAGTGGGGAACTGTGTGTAATGACAGCTGGGACTTACAGGATGCTGGAGTCGTGTGCAGGCAGCTGGGCTGTGGGACGGC